CAGAGGATTGGAAAAGGGCCAGTGTAGTGCCCCTCTTTAAAGAAGGCAAGGAGGAGGACCTGGAGAACTACAGGTTGCTTAGCCTCACCTTAATACTTGGGAAGTTACTGGAGCATATGGATCTCTTTGTCATTTGAACTGGGGTCAACTGTTCACATGGCTCCATCGCACGCTCTACCCTGGCTTGACAGTGCCTGTTGGCCCCCTTCGCTTCACTTCTACTGCTTTATTACATGAATTCTGTTTTCCATCTTTCTTGCGGTCATCAAGATACTCATCTGTGACTGTCTGCCACATGGCATCGGCATTGAGTACAGGATGGATGGAAACCTGTTCAATGTCTCCCGCTTCTGTTCCAAAACCAAAGGTTCTCTGGCTTTGACCATGGAACTTCAGTATGCTGAGACTGTGCTGTCATTGCACATCTGGAGGAGGACCTACAAACAACCCTCAACTGCTTCTCTCAAGCATACCAGTTAAGGGATTAACCCTTAACATCAGAAAAACAAAGGTGCTTTGCCAGCCTGCTTTGGGCTAATCAACTCTCCCTGTCCTCACTGATGGACAGGAGCTGGAGACTGCTGAACACTTTGCATACCTTGGCAGCCATCTCTCAAAGAAGGCCAACATTGAGGAGGAGAACCAGTATAGGATCCAATGTGCCAACTCTGCCTTCAGAAGACTATCATCATGTGTTCAATGATCATGACATCAGGACTTGAACAGAGATCCTACTATATAAGGCTGTGGTAATCCCAGCTCTTCTCTATGGCTATGAAGCTTGAGTGACATTGGGCTATGAAGCTTGGGCTACAGCTAACAGAACAAAGTTCAGTGTGGACAGATGCAAGGTGCTATACCTTGGGAGGAACAGTCAAAAACATAAATACAAAATGGGGGACATATGGCTGGATGCAAACTCTATGGAAAAGGACTTAGGAGTCTTAGTAGACCACAGACTCAACATGAGTTGGCAGTGTGATGCAGGCATACAAAAGATGAATGTATTTTGGGCTGCATCGATAGAAGCCGCAGGTGCAAGACATGGGAGGTGACAGTGCCTCTTTTCTCACACTGGTTAGGCCTCATCTGGAGTACTGTGTGCAGTTCTGGGCTCCACATGTTAAAAAGGATGAGGAGAAGCTAGAGAGGGTCCAGAGGTGGGTGACAAAGATAATCAAGTGCTTGGAAGGCAAGTCATATAAGAAGAGGAGCTAGGCATGTTCAGCTGCACAAAAGATGCTTATGAGGGGACATGATAACAGTCTTTAAATACTTGGAGGGCTGCCACAAAGAAGAAGGAAAACACTTTTTGTCCCTTGCTGCAGAGACCAATGGCTTGAAGTTGCAGAAAAGTAAATTTAGATTGGATATCTGAAAAAAACTTTTTCACTGTGAGAATAATGAGGCAGGGGAATAGACTGCTCAGGGAAATTGTGAACTCTCCATCACTGGAGGTGTTCAAGAATAGGCTGGACAGCCAATGGCCAGGGAAGATCTAGGCATAGCTATGCTTATATTCTACCATGGATATTTTCCATACCTCTTGGCTTTGCTGGTTGCTTTCCCCAGCCCCTTTTTTCCTGCTATATGTGCCAGGGGGTTTTTAAGCCTCCCCAGAGACATTGGGTATTGGCTGACATTGGTTTGCCAATTCTCCTGCTAGGAGCAAGGCCAAAGGTTCCTGCCTAGAGGGTCTTGCCCCTCTGCTCAGGGTCATAAGTATCACCATATTTGGGGTCAGGAAGGAATTTTACCCCATGGTCAGATTGGCATGGACCGTGGGTGTTTTTGCCTTCTTCTGTAGCAGGGTGTATGGCCCTCTACCTAGGATCTGGTTTCATATTTGTCTTCAGCTTTGTTTTAGTAGAATAGAAGTACATTCTTTGTTAAAAACATTTACCTCCTATGTATTGCTTTTCATCCACAGACTTCAAAGTACCCCATGGTATTAGCAATAAAGACTTAGGATTCTGGACTAGCCAGATAATACCAGATAAGTGGTATTATCTCCCTCTAGTTTCATCAATGATTCTTTTAATCTCTTAATTCTGACTAGTTTAAGAATACCACACTGGATGCATCTACATGTGCACTTAATGTGCATGAATAAATTCCAGAGCGTGTTGCTCCCAAGCACACTGTTTGAATTTGCTCCTGGGAGCAAACAACAATTCATGCACAGCACATGGAGCCCAGTCAGAGCAGGCCTGGGCTGGCAGGAGACTCAGGGGCTCAGCCTACCAGCCCAGGGCTGCTCTGACCAGGCTCCATGAGCTGAGGTGGGGGAAGAGGGCTGGCTGAGGCACAAGTGTGCCTCAGCACAGGGGCTGCTCATGCTTCAGTCCACAGCACGTGGAGCCCAGTTGGAGCAGTCTTAGGCTGACAGGCTGATTCGTAGGATCCCTGCCAGCCTGAGCTGCTCCAGCTGGGTTTTGTGTGCTATAGCGGGCCTGGCTGGGCCATGAGTGTGCTTCATTGTAGGGGCTACATGCTGGCTAGCCCCATGCTAAAGCACCCTCATTCCCCAGCCAGCCCTATCACTGTTTACACATGTGCTGCAGCGCAAGAAACAACACCACCACAAGGTAGTACTTCTGCGTAGCTGGACTACCCTGTGGCAGCATGTATTAGTCTACTGTGACCTAATAGGGTTGCATGTGTAGACAGTGATATTTTACTGCAGAACTCATTAATCAGCTCTGCAGTAAATGCCTCATAAAGACATGCCCACTGCAGTCCCATTAATGAAACCCAGTCTTTTGCCTTTACTGTTCTTCAATTAAATCATGTCATTCACCAGGAGATTTTTGACATGATAGCTTCTAAGAGTCAAACTTCAGTAGTGGCTTTTCAACCCAATGACCCCAGCTCGCCCTATTATTTTCATGGAGTAGGTGCTACTGGATCTAAAGGAAAAGGAATTTTTGTTAACTGTGACTCAGTACCTACCTTCACAGTGTACAGTGTGTGATAACAAAGCATCTGAGTTTTCCATTCACCACAGAAAAATGCAGATTTTCTCCTTTTAAAGGAGAAAAATGTAGGAAATGGCAGGTTGCCCTTGTAGGCTGTCAGAGTTCCAATGGGCAGGGCAGGATGCGGGCTGCCCATTGTGGTCTTGGCACTCCCCGCCCTGCTGCCTTCCTTCTGGGGCCTCTGCAGCCCAGCAGGCGAGACCCAGCATAGCAGGGCAGGGAAGCCTTTTGGAACTACTAAAGCACAGCTCAGTACAGATAGTTACTGCACCGTGCGCATGGCAGACAGATTTCACTGTTACATCGCTGTGGTGGCATACTATACCCAGGGCGCATGCCGCTATGGTGATGTTCCTGGCAATCATGTGTAGGGCAATGTGTAGACATGTCTGACAGCATTAAAATGATAAATACATCAATAAAACATTATGTTTAATGGATACCTATATATATATAGTGGCATTTCATTTTAATTGTGGAAAAACATGGATTTTAGGGTTTTATTAATCAGAGAATTGCAGTGTTTTCTGTTTTTTAGAAGTCAGAGAATCTGTGATTTTTGAACAGAGAAAACTAGGATCCCTGATGATAACCAAGCAGTTTAAATGTTTTAGGCTGTGTACATCCTGAATTAAATAAAAACCCTATTGTCTACAAATGTGTTTTACAATTGTTTAATTAACAATTGTATAATTAAGTATTAAACAAGATAAACTGTGTATGTTTGCATAAATTGGTAATTGGTGCTCCCTAATATCTTATTTATCTTCTTAGGTCCAAGTTATAGAAGAGTTTGCCCTGGATATTTGTAATCACTTCATCTCCTCATTTTGCCATGTGCTGTATGCCAAAGTCTTTATTCAAGAGTCGCCATGGCACCGTCTACACCAGGTATAAAAAAATGCCAGCACAATAATTTTATTTATTCTTGATGTTCTTATTTAGATCGCTTTTTAAGTTAAACCACAATTATTCATGATGATTTTACTTACAACTCTGCTCTAAATTTGTAGGACTGTGTTCCCCATGCCCATTCATTTATCTTTGCACCTGAAGGAATTCGTTTTTGTGAAGTTGAACTGTGTCGGAATGGTGAGAAAAACATCTTTAATTTTCCTACAAATGTATTCTTTCTTTGTTAATGTCTTTCTTGACTAAGAACGGAGACAGATTTAGAGATAATTGCAGTGATCAAAAGGTCCCCAGAACTATAAAATAAAGAAAGGAATACACTCAACACTTCTTAATATATGTCCACTGCTGCAGGCCTTGTTCCCGTGAGTCACAAGATTACTCTCAACTAATGCAGCATCCAGCTTTAGATTATTATTATTTTACTAAATGCATAGACTCTATTCTACCTATTAGGCAAGTTGGGTATATGCAGTATGGAACATAGTAGTTCTGTTCTATTCTGCTTGCGTCCCTATAAAAACAGTTATTGCAAAAGCTGGGTGGGTTATCCTCCTCCTCCTCAATGCTATTTTGTGACTCAGACTTAAGGATAAGGAGACAATGGTGTATCTACACATGTGTTAGTGTGCTTTTGTTAATGCACATTAAGTCTACTACCTCCGGGTGCCTATACATGAGCTGGGAGGCTGCTCCAAAGTACTGTATTTACAGTGTGTCAGAGCAGACTCAATTAATTGAGTCTTCTGGAGTGTGATAATTACTGCGCCCCAGCCAGCCTCCATGCCCCATGCATCAGCGTCCCTGTGCTTCAACATGGCAGTGGGGGCACTTTAACTAAAGCTTGTTTGATGAGCTTGTGAGGTAGTAGGAAAATGTGTATTAGCCTGTCTTAATGTGGATTAACAAAAGATTACGGGGCATTTATACACGTACCTTTGTTTGCTCCAGCGCACCAGAAATCCAGTGCATTGTAGCAGACTCAATTAATTGAGTCTGTGGACACGCAACCTGATGTGCCTGGAGCTGCATCACACGCATTTGTATCAACAGCGAAGTTTGCATCGCATTGGTGTGTAGAAAATGGCAGCAAAATGCTTTTTAACTAAAACACCTTCAAAGCATTTTAATTCAAAAGTGGGCTGCTGTCATTTTTTCAGTGCTGATGTGCATTTTGCCATTTATACAAATGCATGCACCGTAGCACCAGGTGTTTTCAGAAGTGCCTGGCACTGCGGCACATGTGTATACAAATGCCCATGGTTTTTAACTGACACTTATTTTGCATTAGCCCATTTTAAAGCACATTAGCTAAATAGCACTTTTTTAGTGATGCTTTAGTGTGCATTAAAATAGGCTAATGCACGTTAAAGCACACGTGTAGACATACGCAGTGTGTTACAAAAATAGATGCAGTGAATGGGGTAGAATAAAATCACACTTAGGTACTTCATAGTTTCATAGCAGGTAGGGTCTGAAGGGACCTGAGCAGATCATCAAGTCTGACCTCCTGCCAGGGGCAGGAAAGAATGGTGGGGTCAAATGACCCCGGCTAGGTGATTATCTAGCCTCCTTCTGAAGACCCACAGGGTAGGGGTGAGCTCCACTTCCCTTGGAAGTTCGTTCCAGATCCTAGCCACCCTGACAGTGAAGTAGTGCCTCCTGATATCTAGCCTGAATCTACTTTTGGTCAACTTATGGACGTTATTCCTCGTTACTTCCAGTACTGCTTGGGGGAACAGGGACTCTCCCATAGCCTGCTGGCCCTCCTTGGCCAGCTTGTAGATGGCCACCAGATCCCCCCTCATCCTTCTCTTGTGAGGTACCATAGCCTCTGCTCATAGGGCCTGCCTTGCTGCCCCCTGATCAGGTGAGTGGCCCTCCTCTGGACCTTTTGATGCTGTCCACATCTCTCCTGAAGTGCGGCACCCAGAACTGGATGCAGTACTCAAGCTGCAGCCTGACTAGTGTCACATAGAGGGGGAGGATCACCTCCTTGAACCTACTCGTGATGCATCTGTGGACGCATGACAAGGTTCAGTTAGCCTGCCTGACCGTGTCCCCACATTGGCGGCCCATGTTCATTTTGGAATCAATAATGACTCCAAGATCCTTTTCTGCCTCTGCATTGACAAGAAGGGAGTTCCCCAGCATGTAGGTATGGTGCTGGTTCTTCCTCCCCAGGTGCAGTACATTGCACTTGTCAGTATTGAATCCCATCCTGTTCTTGTCCGCCCACCCCTGTAACCTGTCTAGATCTAGTTGCAGATCCATTTAGATGCCTGACAGGTAGGATAGTAGTAATTACAACCATTATGGACTAGATTCTAAGTACAAGGCACAGCTACTACAAATCCTTACAGGAGTTAAGAAAATGACCTGCTTAAATTTATGCAATTATTGCCTACAATTCGTCCATTTGCATTTCTCTAACAAGTGGTACATTTCAAAATACATACTGTTTAAGTCCAACTGCCTAGTTTGCACTAAGTCATGGATATGACTTAGTTTCATGTCTGAAAAGATGTAGTTTCAATAGTATCAGGCCAAACTCTCAAAGGAGTCTCAGCAACAGTAGTTGTATCTTTATGCAAGAAACTTTTTATATGAGAATGTTTAAATGTTGTGTGAAGTCTGCCACATTCTTTGCAAAACCAAAACCCCATTTGACTTCATTGCATGCTTTGGCGTGTTTGTGGGATGAAGACTTTAAGAGACTGTGTGCCATCAGGGACTGTGAGCAGGAGATAGACTCCTACTGCCAGGCCCTTCCTCCCCAGGAGACAGAGAGTAGTGCACAGTCTCCCTCCAGGACAAGGGAGGACTCGGGGACCTCCCTTACTATCTACCCCAGGGCTTGGACCAAGGTGGCGAAGGGCCCCAAGGCCCACTGGACCAAGGCCCCTGCCCTGCTGGAGCTCAGCAACAGGTATGAACCTCTTGCAGCTCAGCAGAGCCTGCTGTGTTGCCAGCTCCCACAGGCAACACAGACAATACTGTAGCTACCACCCCCACTCTCCCCAAGACCAAACTCAAAGTGTTTGTTGTGGGAGACTCCATCCTGAAGGGGACTGAGTGGGTAATCTGCCACCCTGACCCCTTAGTTTGGGAAGTCTGATGCTTCTTGGGAGCCAGAATCCAAGACACTGCAGAGAAAATCCCTAAACTCCTCCAGCCCACTGACCACTACCCTGTGCTCCTCATCCATGTGGGCACCAATGACACGGCTCAGAGCACTCCCAGCCAGGTCATGAGGTATTACAGGGATTTGGGTGCGGGGCTTAAAGGTCTGGGGGAGCAGGTGGTGTTTTCTTCGATCCTCCCAATCTTGGGCTATGGGCTGAGGAGGGAGAGGAGGATCCAGGTAGTCAACCAAAGACTGTGGCACTGGTGTCGTCGGGAAGGCTTTGGCTTCCATGACCATAGTCCACTCTTTGGAGAGACAGGCAGCAAGCTGCTGGGAAGGGACAGCCTCCACCTCTCTCCGCTGGGGAAGAGGCTGTTCTCAGCCAGACTGGCTGACCTGCTCCACTGGGCTTTAAACTAAGCGTGTCAGAGGATGGGGGGAATACCACCACTGCTGGCCCACTGAGCAACCCTTGCAAAAGCCAGCAGGCCAAGGCAATTAAGGGACCCTACTTCAGCCCCAGCCCTGGAACAAAATTTAGGCAAGGCAAGGGTCCCCAAGGGGACACTTGCGTGTCTAGACACAAATGCCAGGAGCTTGGGGAATAAACAGGAGAAACTTGTTCTGCTAAATGCAAATAACAATGATGTCATTGGGATAACGGAGACCAGGTGGGAATCCACCCATGACTGGGCCACAGGTATAGGTGGCTATACCCTGTACAGGAGGGATTGAGTGGTCAAAAGGGGCGGAGGCGTAGCTCTCCATGTCAAGGAAAGCTACGCGTCCCTGCAAGCTGACATTGGCACCCACGGTGGACAGCTTGAGACCCTCTGGGTTAAAATCCATG